AGTTTGTTGTTTCATAAAGATTGTTTGTGCAATAATCTGATCGCATTGTTTTACGTATAGAGAGTAATCATATGAACAATTCAAGAAATACTGCACGCCAGCGATGCATGTTACCATTTTTGAATTCTTTTAGTCATGTCATGCATGGTATTAACAGACTATTCTTGAAAAGGAAATCAAATTTACCAAGATAGATCTTTGTTTCAAGCGTTTGTCCAATCACTGTAAGTAAATTATCTGTTTATAACAACTTTTCAATAAAAAATCTGGTTATAAAGTTATCACGAAAGTTTGTCAGAGCAGTCTATTTGGTTACCAATTGAGTATAATGACAACTTTATTACAGTCTGAAAATTCAGCATCGCATCCAACAAATTGTTAGGCGAAGACAACATCACAACAAATGATTTATTCATCCGCTGGATCCTTATGTTGAAGGCTGATGGAAAAAAACAATGTTAACTGCACTCTTGGAAAGAGAGAGAGATAAAGTAATCAGCAAGAAGGCTTTGGGTTTCTTGAAGAAATGTATAAAAAATGACAATATACGCGTTGGCAGTTGTTTATCTATTATTTTTCTGCTCGAGACTTGCTCAGTGATGAAAATTTCCTAATCCTATATCATTTAATTCACTATTTTTTCTTTAATCTTAGAATACATTAAACGAGAAAAGTCAGTCTTAAATGGAGCATCCAACGACATTTATGAGATAAGTTATCTAATCGTTGAAAAATAAAATACTATTCAACTTCTGTAAATTGAGTTTCGTTGTCTTGTTTATTTTGTGCGACATTTTCGATTGATAAATACATGCCTGTATTGCTTTATTATGAATATAATAAACGCGCGACTTGAATATAGTAAATATTATAGTCTCTGTTATAGCAAAAACTTTGGACAAGGGAAGATTTTATTCAGACTGCCGAATTCGTTATAAACAGATTGACTGTGTACAAAAGTTATTTCAACCAAGATATGGATGTTCGCATCACAAATCTCAAAGGAAATTCGTGTCGTCATTCCGTCAACATTCGATGAAGCAGGGCTCAAGAAGACTCATTAACAGCATCTCCACACACATTCTCGAACTTGCAGATGGTAGAACCAACGTATCCGTAGTCCCAAAGATTTCACCAATGAGCCGTCATAATCACTTACATCAATCATAGTCACGACAGTTTCTAATAGCTGTTTTTGAAGACGAGGATTGTTTATGAGCTTAATACGTATAAACAACACAAGCGGATGATACAGCACCATGTTTCTGTTTATTTTCTCTCTGTTTAGAGCAATCAAACGAATAAGACGAGTATATATGCACTATTGAGATGTGCCTAATTATTATCCGTTTATTATTGTTGTTATCTATATTAATGTATAAGCTTGCATGTTAATAAGTTCGAGCATTAATTGAGGCCCATATACGACAATAATATTATTGCTGCAAGAATGACTTTATCGAAATGTTATACTAAGTCAACAAACAACACGCCAACTTGTACACATCAGTTACTGCACCTTTGGATAACAGCTACTGCGATTATCTTCAGATACCGCCCAAGCTATTACCGATTATTCGAAGGGTGCTTAATCACAAGAGGATACGGATTACCATTATTATGCAATTAGAGTCAACAAGTTATCAAAATTAAGAGTCATAGTCGCCTATAAATAATACTTCCAATTTTTTAGCATTTTGCACTTATCTCTACAATTTACGAAAATGAGCACACGTCGCATGCCAAGAAAATGTTTCACATATAATATCTACATTGCCAGCATGTAGTATAACGACAATAAGAATGGTGACAATTGCAACAAAATTGGTTTCAAACAAGACGATATTGTTGAAACAGACGTAGATTCACTTATAAATAAATGCACAACAAGAAAATTTTTTTGCTTATACTCGGAATACTGAGTCAATATAACAATATAGACGTATGAGTCATGCACTTTAGAGTAGATTTAAATGAAGAAATGCCTGTTTCGATATCACAGAATTTTATTTACCACAACCAATTTTAGTACAAATTAGTTTACAGTCTTTGTGGTACTAATACTGCGATAGTTTCGAAGGTTTCTGTCATAAACATGAGTTTTGTGCTCTTATCCGAAATAAAGGTCTAAAATAGATTTCAACCGTCTATCAACACGATTTACTTCTGATCGATGTACGAATTTAATTCATAATAAAGCATAGTTATAACTTCCATTATAAAAATTTGCAAATAATCCATATCAAAATTGATATGTTTGAACAAAGACAATCAACGGAATTTCTAATTCCTCGTAACAAAGTGAGTAAAAAAAATATAGCCACACATCCTGTTCGTTGGAACAAATGTTCCTCATTTCTGATATACGGAGCAATACGTCAAAACTTGCGTTAATACAACGGAGCAAATACATTTGCTAAGAAGACCTACGCGGAGTAATACTATTGTTGAAAAGACTGATATTCGAAGAAGAGTTAAAGATGTTACGTTACTAATATTATTGCATCAAAATAGAACAAATATCTTTATTGGCTCATAATGCAACATGTTTTGTCGTGGCAAATATTTTACCTGAATAAAGGTAATACCAACAAAATAATGTCAAGTAAAAGAGAATTAATATTTTCCGGTTATGTTGCGTAACACGGAATTCGAAATCATATCTCTCTAACGGCGTAGTGTTGTCTAATTCATACTCAGCAAAACAAATTTATTATTCGATAGAGTTTATCTCACTTAAAGACAACTCACATAATAATATATTGTTATTTTTATTTACAGTACCTCTGAATAAGAATAACATTTTGCCTGGTACATACTACGTTGAGTATTTAGTAAATATTGGCTGTTAGTTTTTTCCATCAACCGTTGAGAGCGTCCACGGTTATTATTGCTTTATAATTTACTGAACCGGAAGCTAACTCTGACAATATTGTTAGATTATAATTTTACGAATTAGAGTATGCTCAAAGAGTTGATATCCTAATCGCATTATAAAGAGTTTGAGGAGACGCCAAGCAAAATATTATAATTCTACACTAATTTAGTTAAGCTTTCCTGAATTTTAGAGAGATACGCAGTGTTGGAAAATTCGTCTGGATGTGTAGTTATCATGGCGTGGTGTTTTGCGCAATAGCTAATATAATGACGTTTCAATGCGGCTAACGACGACGGGCGCATCTACGTTTGTATCACATCTCGATGTGTCCTGTCCAAAGACTAAATGAAAATACATCACGTTTAAAATTGAATTTTGTCCAAAGCATAATTTATACTGTAATTTTTAGTGTTGCGCTTATTCTGATAGACATGGCTTTGGAATAATGTTACTGTATATCGAAAACTTGAAATAAGGTTATATGTAAAATATGTTGCACGTAAATAAAAAACCCGCATCTACTTATGATCAAAGGTCACCAAAATTTCTCACTAAAGCCCAAAAATAAAAATCGAGTTCAAATAAACCCACCGGTTGTATTCGTTACAGTTACAAACATTACACATTCGCTATTATCAACAGACAAACCGTTTTACTCTTTTAGCTCATGCCAAATCCACGGCTTTAAGAATTGAACCAGTTTTCTGCCACGCACCAGAGCTATTCAGAGTACCGGAACCATTATAACTATGGTGTCAATATACAGCGTATGTGTTGTTATGTAAATCCCTCGAAATCTATGTACACCCACTTATCCGTATCGAATATTGAGAATTTTCACTGTCATGTGATTCCGCTCTTTGACTATTTTATTGCGCCCATACTAAAGTAACAAACATGGTTGTCTACTGTTTATTATTATTGCTAGTGTAAAAAAAATCACAGTGTTGTAAACGAATAAAACAAAAGCGTTTCATTATTATATTGATTCATTGTATCAGTATCTGTATGAAGCAAAGTGTTGAGTTAAGATGCGATGTATCAAAATTTTAATCGCAATAGAAGTCACGTGAAGTAACTGTAAAGGGGTCGACTTACTATCTAAAAGCCCTTTCGATCTCTCAACAAGTCTTACTATCAGTAATGTGACTCTAGGGGGAGGTTTACGATTGCAAAATATTCGTTCCGTGATCGTAGAGAGGGATTGTGACTGTAAGGTGTATTTGTAATATAGTTAGAACCCTAAGTTGTATGATTGAACTTGTATGATTGAAATCGTACAATCTTGATTCCGCATATCGATTGGTATAATAGTATGGATCGATTGTTACTTCCTTGTAGGATAACCAAAAGTCAAATAGAAACATATCGACTGGGAATGTTTTATGATGCCAATGGTAGAATCATCTGAGTTACCTGAAGTAGATAAAACACTCAACGAATAATAAGTGTAAGAGTAGCGGCAAGAATCAAGAACTTAGTCAGATTGTTTGTTTCATCGCGAATTCTCGGCAAACCGGCCATTTCATATAAATATTGTTTAGAGAACGATCCAGCATCCTCATACAATAGAACACACTTCTCATAATTTGAAGTTGGATATATGAATCGTGGTGTGAAGTACGAATGTCTTTTTAAACCAACCTTTGCATTCGTGTTCTAGTAGTAGAATCGATACAGTCACATAAATCGGTTATCAAAAATTTACCCCGCCTCCCCAGTACTCGTATTACGCCCAGCCTATCATCAATCCAGAATTTTTCATTTTGTGTTGACATTAAAAACTCGGTTAATAAAAGACTAGGCACATTAACTCGAAATTTTAAATGCGAATGGTTTAAACTTTTCCGCTCGCTTAAACCATCGTGTTATGGAAACGCGTATGTTGCTGCTTGTAGTCTAATACATTATGTCACGCATATCGAAACAGCGGTTGTTGCTTTACTCACTATTATTATGGCCAACTTTGAACTTGGTAGAAGTAGATTTGGAAGTAACGTACAAAGCATTTTTTGACGGCTGTTATCGAAGACGTTTTATTATTACAAAACGAGAATGCAACTCTTTGGTACGAAAAGACTCAATGTTATAATTTGGATTTCGGCAAGTTATCATAGCTCTCATGTACCTACCGTCAAATGCGATGCCAATGGAAGAAATTCATATTCAACGACAGATCAAATGTTGGGATGTTTACCAGATCCCAGAAATTAAAAGAGCTTTATCTAGTGTCACGTTCAAACGTCAGATATGTGTGATGGTAGCGGTTTGAAGTTCCGAATAAAGCGTAACGTTTATCCAATTTATAATTTACACTGTTTATGAAGCTTTTTTTTAATATTGTGAATAAAGTACATGCACTGTACCAGTAATTGTGTGTACGGTGTCAGTATTGCATATATTAATATGTTACTCTCTCTAATATTGTTATCTATAACACAAGACTAGTAAGGTTTATCAAAATTACTAAATGTTAGCAATCAACTTGTTCGGATTTTCGACAACAGCTACTTAATATTAACATCATTGTAAAATTGCATGAAGGCTAATGTTAACTTATATTAACAGCATTTAAACAATAAATAACATCGATTTTGTACAGGCAAATCATAAAGCAAGGGTCATATAATTATCACCGTTTTGTGTGTGTTGTGAACAATAAAAACTTCTTAGTGTTGAAAATGGATATCGAACCGTGCTTATAAATTAAAATTACTCGTTAAACGCAGTAAACATTTCTCTAGTCGAACATATTAATCATTATGCAAGGCCAGCCAGGAGAGGCGTAATTCAATAACAATGTCACGTATGGTGATAGTAAATAATAACATACAAATAATTTAATAAAGCATGCGTATAAACAACGTTCACATTAATATCAGTATATTCTATAAAAATCATAATTGTAATATTGCCAATAATCAATCATCTTTACACCAGTTGGAAAAGTTTCAATTTTCGAGTTGCGTTCCATGGTATTTAACTTTTCTTCCGAATATAAACAAACCCAATAAAGACGTATGTCCATCTAGATAGAATTAAGGTTAAAAATAAATGAATACATGTTCAAAATAATAAAGAAACCCATACGTACACAGTTAACAAGTTCTATAATAATATCGTCTTCAGACGAAACGTTAACCGTGCATGGTAAAATGTATTCAGCGACGTAGTTGGCGTTAAGTTTAATGTCCGTCTTATATTGTATTTCTTCAGTCGATGTTTTTATCGTTGTCTACAAAGCAAATGTTTATATTATCGTACAATAAAAAACTATAACCACCAATATTATCTTGAATACTTACTACAATTGTAATTGGCTCATCCCAATAATTGTACAACAAAATGCCGAGTTTGTATTTATTTGGAGG